CAAGAAATCGCACAACCGTTGCTGTTCCCTTCATAAAAGGAAATCTAATATTGAAAGGAGTGTAAGTGAACGAATTCTCTCCGATTCCACCATTAAGAGTGTTCATCCACACAATGCGAATAGTGGAATAACGAGCCCAAAAAGGAAGACCGTAAATGTCGTAATATCTTTCAATTGGACGTTCGTTGCTTTCCACAAGAGCATACACAGCACGAAACGCTATACCAAGGACATACTGCCTGAGAAGAGGATTGTATTCATACGAGTAAAAGCGGAACCAATTTCTACGGGTGTTCCACCACGCACTTTGACCCTCGCTGCTCGCTGGTGTCAATAATTCCATGTATTCAGGTTGGTCTGCATTCCGCGGAAACAAAGCAGCACCGTTAATTGCCACCAGCTCCCCATTCCCAAACTTCAAAAAATGAAAACCATTAAATGTACGGAGTAAGGGTTTTTTAGCGGCAGCTCGGGGTCCTCCACGCACACCACCAGCACCTTCTTGCTGACCTACCTTTTCTGCACACACACTGATGCAGCTCAGAAGCAAGAGGAGCAATACAACAAACAGGGAGTGACTCATGTTGTATTTCATGGTTGCTCTTTCGTCCTTACTATCCTCTCGTTCTTCTCGTCAGACCAAAGAAATTATTGAATTCCTATAGTGAATGCCAAAAAGTACTTGTGTTTGTATGTGTTGCGGTTGGTGATTACTTTCAAAGCCTTCAAATACAAAGTGGCGTTTGCAGCTTTAGCCCATCACAATATATAGAAATAGTTAAGGAAAGAATGGAGAAACCAAAAAGAATTGTGTAATGAAAAAAAAGAGAAACAAAAATACATTCACCGTGACAAATTCCAAACACGTCACTTAAGAAAGAACGTAAACACAATGCTTAAATACAGTAAATCTCACTAAAAGAGGTAAAAAATAGTATATTATCCACAAAAAAAAAATGATTTGCAAATATGATAATAGTTTTTTTTTTATTGGCTTCTGTACATTTACACATCGTACATAGTTCATAGAAGTTTCTCTCCGCCCTTTTTCTCTGAGCCGCATCAAAGGTGAAGTTCACACAACTCAAGTATCGTATGTGAGAGAAACAATTTGAAAAAAAAAATTCAATAAGAAAACCACTACACTACAGATATTATAGCGCACAACAGAAAACAAAAGCAATCAAGTACACATAATAAAATAATAGTAGTAAAAACCCAGCATCCATCTGCTCAACAAGTTGAAAACAGAACTATAAAGGGAGAAAAAAAAATTTCTTTTTTCCAACCATGTAACTATTTTCACAAGTGCTGTCACACAAGAGAAAGATGAAGAAACCAAGACAGAGAGGTCAACTCCGACAGAAATAAAAAATAAGAATAAAATTAAGAACTCAATATTACCTCTTTTCATTTGCAACCCAAAAAAGAAATGACGGAGAGAAAACGTACGACGGGCGGGGATCGAACCCGCGATCTCTCGCGTGTGAGGCGAATGTCCTAACCACTAGACGACCATCGCTGTGCCCTGGACAAGGAGGGATACAGAAATAATCCATAAACACTACGAAGAAGAAACCACAAACATATATCCAAAAGTGTAGAGAGAATTAGAGATGAAAAAAAAAAAAAAATAATTATTAGAAATAACAACAATATACAAATAAATAAGGCGCTGATAAACTGTGGAAAAAAAAAAAAAAAAAAAA